AACCGCCAAGGTTTCTTTTGTTTTGTTCTGTTTTTAAATACAAGGGCGCATGCCCCCTGAAACCATACATATGTTTTAGAACTCAAGGGTCATTCCTCCCATAAGAATTGGTCGCATTGAAGGACAAGCGGGCTAGCCCAGATTTCGGGGTTTTCAGAAATCTAGACGTACACCATAAGTGGGCATTGCCCTACCTATAGGAGCAGTTTGATTTCGTTGGCGAGTATATTTGTTTGGTTATAGAGACAACTCTCCTTATCTTTTAAAGAAACTGAATAAGGATCCAAAAACTTCACCTTCGATTTCTCAAAACAGCATTTTAAAGGATAGCCCCCTTGAGCTTAAAAGCGACCTATTGTAAGTGCAAAATGACACACATTTACAAACATATCAGAAGCAAACAAGCACACACGCACACAAGCAAACACACTTACGATCAGACAACCTGCTATAACTCATGCCTTATCTTCCACCCCTTTAATGTCCCCATCTCCTCTTCCCCCGACCCAATTGCATTCATATTGCTCGACCACCCGTCCATCCGCCCCGCCCGTCTCCCAAGCTAGCATTCGTTACCTCCCGAAATGTGTCCCTGTTCTGAATACGGAAACGACGCGCGGATGTAGATCGATTGTAAGAACTGGACGAGGTTTAACCCTATCCGTACGCCCTGATGTCATTTTGTAACCCCGGAGTTGTATTCTTCACATTTTAGAATTCTCCTAGTACGAAGATCTCTTTGAAACTTTCAGTATTTCTCATAAAATCATTTTGACAGACTGCTATGAAAAGGGTAGTGATCGGATTAACAAGTAAATTTCCTCTTTGGAAAGTGGTGGCTCAGAGTTCCTCACGTCGTATGTATATATACAATAGTAAAACACGACGTACAGGTAGGGTTAAGTAAGAGAGCAACTAACCACGGGGCCGGGGACAGGGGGGAGCAGAACAACAGACAGAAGAAAGAGTAGGCGAGGTAAACACGCACAAGACTTCTTTGTGGAAGGAAGGTTATTTGCAAAATATTTAGATATATATACAATTTAGACTATTGTGAAAAATTGCATTTCTTTAAGGCGTTGGTCCACTGCGTACACAATCATCCATTGACGACGCGCATTCTGGTCATTTGGCAACTCTTACTTGAAGACACGCAGCTATTTAGGATACTTTGGGGGTGGGGGGGAAGCACAGCTTTATTTTTCAGACAGGTTATTATTACCATTATCATTATTATTATTTTTATAACA